ACTCACAAATTAACTTCACATTGAATCAGTTTGGGCTATCTAAACAGCAATAGGAAAGGCATTAATACTCACCCTTTTCACCTAAGAAAGAAAATTAAACCCAGTATGAAAATCCCGTATTCTTTTGAAGACCATAATTTTTTGCACTTTAATGTCAGAACTGTAAAAGATTAGATGTCACCACAGAATAAAGAACAAACAAGATACTCAATTCACCTACAGATTTTGCTTTTTCCCCTTGTACTTTCGAGCTTAAACAAACTGCATTCCCTATTCTATTGGTCTACTTCTCTCAAATCATAATGTTGTCCTGTGGATCTATTATTTCATAGCAGTCAGAGGCCCTTTTAAGACAAATGGCAACACATTTCCTTCAGCTGAACCCTGTCCAGCAAATTAGAGAAAGGATAAAAAACCAAGTTTTTCAATGCACTATAAAACTAAATATAATGAAACATGAATTAAATGGACTACAGAAGTAGTCTGTAAGACATACAAAGACCTAAGCATTTCCACAATAAAGCCACTAGGAATTACACTTTAAAATCCAAAAGCTGTGAAGCTGTGCTCTGCCAAGATTTTACATCAGTGTGGAAACTGGTTTAAATGAAACTCCCAAGAGAATAAAAAATACATTTCAAAGTTGATTTGCTGTAAATCATCTGCCTGCTCTTTTACGACACACCTTAAATCTCTGTCCAGAAGCATACAAAATAATCACACCCTTCAATTTTTTTGTTTGTGTACTTTCCTCTCTTTATAAAAAAGTTTGTTTATTTAATTTCATGGTTCTAACAGGCTTATAAGGGATATGCTGAAAAACTGTTATCAGAATATGTATAATTCTAAAGGACTGCTAAAATAGCCATGTAGTTTGCACTTAAAAAAATGCACTTCCTTTTGTTACAGATGCAAGCATTTGAATGAACCCCATTACGTTTTCTTGCCAAATACATTCAGCATAGCTAATGATTAATGAATATAGTGCTTTTCTTTTTATTCACATAGGCTCCTCTCCAAGAAGAAAAGGAAGCCGAGTAATTGAAAATTATCATTCTTAAACACTATGCTGCTACTGGTGTGCCTTATCTAGTGCCTTGCAAAGTGGAAAAAAAAGGAAACAGTCTCTACCTGAAGCAAGACCCAGTATTCTTTTTCCAGGTAATTACATTTTTAAAAGAGAAATTTTGCCTAAAATTCATTTTAAACAGCACACATTTGGTATTCTTGTGGGGCCATTAAATTCGAATGGCAACAATTAGAGGCTTTAGAATACCGTGAAAGAATATTGCTCGTAAGTAAGATGGTTATTTGATTTAGATTTCTTTTTTCTATATTAAAAAAAAAGCCCCAAACCTATGACTTTAAAAATACTGCAATGCAAAGCTCTACCGTGAACCTAATTTTATTAGGAAACAGGGCAGACTACAAACGTACCTCTAAACTTTTGGTATCTCATCAAAAACTTCGTTTGACTGTCCTCAGTCTGCCACTGCCCCTCATTAAGGACTCGAATCCGCAAGAAGAGAAAACTCCAGGTTTAGAAAAAATAAATCACTAAGTAGCTGGTCTTTCCTTTTATTCCAAAGCCTTTGAAAGACGAGCAGCTGTCTGAAGACGGCATTTTAGCCTCATCAGCTACCCATAGGATGCTGCACGTCCTTTCCTCTTTGCTAGAGTCAGATTTTACAGAACGCCTTTTCTTCGCGGGTTTGTAGAAAGCCCAGGAACATCTCGTCTCCGCTCTGAGCGACTCCAGCCCGCGACACCGCAGCCCGTGCCTGCCCAGCGCCGCGCTGGCGCATCGCCTCTCCCTCTCTAACTTGCAGGCGCCGCCGTGAAGCGCAGCGGCTCCGCGGCGCTGCCGCCGGCACCGAGCCGGGGCTG